CTATATTTTTCTCACTGGCAGTAGTCTTGGGAATAATAACATTAGTGAACCTTCCATAATACTTATCATTGTCAACATAATGGTACACAGAACTGATATCTGCTGTATGGACATTTAGTCAAGCTTAAAGTACAAATGTCATTTTACAGAAGGAAATAAGCTACAAAGATGGTGGGTAGGGACCCATTAATGGACATTTCTAAAAATGAACACAAGCTGAAAGCCTGACAATTTGTTCCTTCACTAAAATGGGCATTTTACTAATTATTGACCTTAGTCAATAGTAAAAAGCATGAAAGCGTGACAATGAGAAAAAAGCCTGTGCAGGGACAATGCACAGAACGGTTTTTAATATGCATTGTATATTCCTGCTACTATGCATTGTGTTTTCCTGTTACTATAGCAGGTCTAGGCAGTTAGAATGTGGGAGAGTTTGGTGTCTTGATGACTTTTGGAGAAGATGGAGAGTTGGGTGTCCTGATGACTTTTGGAGAAGATGGAGAGTTGGGTGTCCTGATGACTTTTGGAGAAGATGGAGAGTTGGGTGTCCTGATGACTTTTGGAGAAGAGGAAGGGAGTTGAATGTCTTGGTGATTTCTGAGAAGATGAAAAGGTTTGGGTGGGAAGTTGGGTATCTTGACTTTCGAGAAGATGAAGGAAGTTGGGTGTCTTGAAGAATCTCTGAGAAGCTGAAGGGAGTTGGGTATCTTGATGATTTTCTGAGAAGCTGAAGGGAGTTGGGTATCTTGATGATTTTCTGAGAAGCTGAAGGGAGTTGGGTATCTTGATGATTTTCTGAGAAGCTGAAGGGAGTTGGGTATCTTGATGACTTTCTGAGAAGATGAAGTGAGTTGGCTGCCTTGATGACTTTCTGAAAAGATGAAGGGAGGTCAAAGCAACTGTCTAAAAGAAAATAAAAATATCAGAACCAGGTTAGTAAGAATTTGAAGCACAATCTTTTTTCCAAGGATAAGCAATGTGTTTAACACACCCAACTCTCAGTCTAACCCTAGCACTTTAATGGTAACATTCATACCATGAATGCACAGGTAACATTCATACCATGAATGCACAGATAAAGTATGGGAAGTGAGGGTGAACCGCCACAAAGCTAGATTACAATAATATATTTGACCAAGATTCTATCCCTTATCTGCTTTTTGTAGGACAATTAAAAAAAAATGGTGTTGCTGTAGGTGGGCTTTAATAAAGACATTCACTCTAAATCCTTTTTACTGGTCAAGGTGCAATGTGTGGCCACATGTTGAGGTTCCAGTGCAAAAAATTGGCAAGGAGAAAAAAATCTCACCATTTTTAACGTTTACATTATTAAATTACAGATTCACTTTAAAGAGAATGTGTAAAGATAGCAATATGGAAGTTGCCATAGCCAAATGTTAAAAAGTGCAAACTTTGTGGCTGTCACCCTGATCCTGCCCTAATACCTCTTATGTAACAGACCTGGAACAAGTGTTACAGACTTGGAACAAGCAATTCATTTTGAATGGGCTGTCAGTGCAACAAAAATCAGACCTGAAGCAAATGTTTAACAAATCTTCAAATGTACTGTGCTACACTGGTAAATCTGATTATCCTTGCAAGCTCTGTGAATATCTAAAGGTCATATACGCGTTGAAAATAGAGACAGAAAACAGAAAGCAGATTAAAAAAAAAAATCTTTTAATGAGCAAAAAATAAATAAAATGCATGTAAAATAAAGTGACTTGTCTCTCTCCTTTTATTGGCAACCTAGTGAGAATGTTTTAACCACTTCAATACCAGGGTCTTTCAACCCCATCCTGCCCAGGCCAATTTTCAGCTTTCAGCTCTGTCTCACTTTGAATGGCAATTGCGCAGTCATGCAATACTGTACCCATATGACATTTTGTTTTTTTTTTAGACAGAGATTTCTTTTGGTGGTATTTAACCACCACTGTGTTTTCTATTTTCGGCTAAAGGAACAAGAAAAGGCCAAAAAGTTTTAAAAAATAACCTCTCTCTTCTTTTCTTAAAAGTTTGCAAATTAGTAATTTTTCTTCTTCATTGATGTGCATTGATGAGGCTACACTAATGGGCAATGATGAGGCTACACTAATGGGCACTATTGAGCTAATGGGCACTGATGGGCAGGGCTGCTGTTAGAAACCATAGGGCCCCATACAGCCATCCTGACAGGGCCCCCTAAAAAGAAAAAAAAAAAATCACAGTCTACCATGCTTCAATTATGAACACAGTGAGTGATCGGTATCTATCACTCATGTTAATTCAGGAAAGGAAGGAGCTGGTAAATGTGACATATTTACTGGACCCTTCCCCCACTTTCCATTCCTGGAGGATCCTACTGTGTGCTTTCAGCTGCCAGTGGGAAGGAGAGAAGGGAAGCTGACAACACTGTGGGGTTGGGGGCAAACAGGTGGGCCTGGGCAGTAGGGGGAAACATATGGTGCACAGGGAGGGTGATGGGTGCGGTGGGGGGGGCAATTACTGAAACAGATCCCTTGTATGGCTCTCTCTGCAGCAGCTGAAAGCTGGCAGGAGAGGAGAAGTCAGATTTCAGCTGTTGCAGAGAGAGCCATACAGGGGATCGGTTCCAGTAATTGCCCCCCCCCCCATGGTGATCACCCTCCTTCTCCACATCCGATTCACTTGCCTGGGCCCCCGTGCTGGTCTGGGCCCCATACAGGAGGACTGGGGGTACCCCCTTATCCACAGCCCTGCTGATGGGCACTGATAGGTGGCACTGATAATCAGGGCACTGATGATCAATGCCCTGATTATCAGTGTATACAGCCTTGTTGGGTATCAGATGTCTCTTCCTCAGACACAGCATTTAAGGAAAAGACTGCTGATCACCGGAAAATCTATTTACATGCGATCAGGCTGATCACATGGTAAAGGGCTGGTGTGATTGACTCTTTACTATGATCTGTAATCAACTGTGTCCGAAGGTCACAGAGCGTGCCCAATGCGCACCCCAGGGGAGGCGTGAGAGAGCTGCGTTCTGGGTGAGCATTTATAGATGCCCTCCCAAAATGAGAGAACAACGCTGTAGCCATCTTTCAGCTATAGTGCAATATTAACCATTTGCCGCCCGCCCTATGGCCGAATGGCGGCCGGCAAATGTCATCAGCGTTCCGGGTGGACACCATATGGCATCCTCCCGCACATGTGCAGATTGCGCTCCTGCAGAGCCGCGCAGCGGCGCGATCTGTCACCGGCCATGTACCTCGGACACGGCCGATGACAGATCTGAGTATCGGCCCCCTTTGCCGGTACCATGTGACCTGCTGTGACCAATCACAGCAGGTCACATGACAGTTGTATACAATGGATGGCTTCATTCATGCCATCCATTGTATACTAGTGTCTAGCTGTGAATGGTCACAGCTAATCATATGCACATGTCATGTGATTAGCTGTGGCCAAATCACAGCTAAGTACAAAAAAAAAAAAAAAAAAAACCCTGAATAAATCGATGTCATTCAGGTAAATCCTTGCTTAAAGCAAAGTAATTCTTTGCTATAAGCAAATTGTGTAAAAAAAAAAAAAAAAAAAAATACTGATCACTTCCCCAAAGTAGTACAATGTTACTATGGTAACATTGTACTACTTTGGTCATAGTGAAATATGAAAAAAAAAAAAAAAATCTTAAAAAAAAGAAAAATTTTAAAAAAAAATAATAAAAAAAATATATATATTTTTTCATACTGTCACCAGTCAGTGTCCTTGATCACCGCCATGCCAGTTATATGATGACGCTGTACTGCACTGGTGACAATATGTAAAACAAAAACAGTGAAACTAATTTTTTTAATTTTTTCATTTTCCGAAAAATTATGACAAAAAAAACCAACTTAAAAAAACCCACCATGCCTCTTATGAAGTACGTCGGACTGTCTACTTTGCAAACAGGGGTCATTTGGGGGATATCTGTACTGTTCTGACATTCTGGGACCTCAAGAAATTAGATTGGCTGTCAGTACTTCAGGATTGATCAATATTCAGATCTATACCATAGTTTGTGAACTCTATAACTTTCCTACAAACTAAAAAATACATCCTAATTTGGGTTATTTTCACCAAAGACATGTAGCAGAATACATCTCGGCCTAAATTTATTTGCAAATTTTTATAACAGAAACAAAGAAAAACATGTTTTTTTCAAAATTTTTGGTCTTTTTTTGTTAATTTAGCAAAAAATAAAAACCCCAGTGGTGATTAAATACCACCAAAAGAAAGCTCTAGTTGTGTGAAGAAAATGATAAAATTTTAGCTTGGGTACAATGTTGTATGAGCGCGCAATTGTCATTCAAATTGAGAGCACTGAAACCTGAAAACTGGCCTGGGCAGGAAGGTGTAAAATTGCCCGTTATTGAATTGGTTAAAGTGGTTAATGTAACTGTTGGCATTCCGGTGGATAGATTTTCCTGGTGATACGCCCTGATTAAGGCACGTCATTGTAAGTACATTCTAATTATTATTTTTTAATTAAATATGCATTCTGTTTCCTGCTTTAAATTTTGAATGCATCCCTCTGTGCAGTATGTGAATTACGCTACACTGCAGCACAGTGCCATCAGCGCCTATTATACTGTACATGTGTATTGGGGTGCCATTTGGAATGAATGGCAGCACAATGATATAGACTGGCATGCGTAAGTGTAAATACAATCTGAAAGTTGTCAGCATTATCTCTGTAATAAATGACTCTTTCAGAGATTACAGTATATTCACAAGCTTCTTCACATGGTTTCCTGGTGTAGTGTATTCAATGTGTTCAGCACAGGCACAGTTATTTTCCCTTGTGAATGTCAAAATTCACTGACATATTAGTGTCATATATAAATGAGATATATAAACCTAACCCCATTGTTAACCCAACGTGGAACAGATTAGCCTTTCATATAAAAAAAACTAATAGGATGTGCAGGGGTGGACTGACAACTCATGGGGCCCCCGGGCAATAGGGGATCATGGGGCCCCTGTGTCCTTGCCCAAACTCAAAAAAGCCTATGAAAAAGGTACCAGGGGCATCTCATGGGGCCCCCTACTGACCCCGGGCCCACGGGCAGTGCCTGAGTTTCCAAATGGTCAGTCCGCCTCTGAGGATGTGCTGATTTAATTAAGGATAACTTTGTTTTCAACCAATGTAGCCTCTAACTTCCGGCGCTATATTTGCATTCTCTGTAGCTGTTGCTCCTTCATTTCCCCAGCCGTGACAATAATCATACCTATGACTTCAAAATAATGTATAAAGAATATATCATGGATACAGGTGTTGAATATTTTAAAAAATATTTTATTGGGCTAATTGAGGAGAAGACCTACATAACTGCCTGGGCCCAGTTTTCAAATTTTGCTTGGAGTTCAAAGTTTGTGAACTACATGGCAAACCCCATTGAAGTCTGTAAGGGGCCAATCTTGTTCTTCAATTATGGCCATTTGTAGGGTTAAAAAATGAAGCTTGGTTGGTTTTGACAAAGCACAGTTTTTGTGTGAAATGTGTTGGCCTCTACCCTCCCCTGCTTGTACATCTGTATGTATTCTATGGCTTTATCAAATAAAGGTGTTTTTAGATCTATTATCGGGAGTGTGGCCATTCAGATTACTTCTGTCTCACATATCATAGATGCGACTGGGCGAGCACCCCAGTACACAGAGATCTTGCTGTCTGTGCCGGCTCACCTTTGAGCGGTGTGCATGATTGTTAAAAAATTTAACTATTGTCAAACAAAAAGCATGGGAAGCCAGACCCTGTCATGGGTGGGGTAAGCATAGGAATGAGCTTGGGTTCGCCTCTGGGTTCAGTCTGAGCCCATGTTCAGCCAGATCAGAAGTCAGCTGTAAGTGCTGGACCAATGAGCTGCAAGTAGGAGATTCCCTGTCCCACAGCTGCACTTACACAAAGGGTTGGGGATGCTCATTACATCATTGGCCTAATATGGCCACAAAGCAATATTAGTTCAAGGATGGCTATATGGCCATATAAGGTCAACAGCCAATTGGCTCAACACTGACAGCTGCCATCTGGGTTTGGCCAAACCCAAGTTCTGTCCAAACCAAGAAAAATAAAATTTAAAAAAACTGTATTGCCCCTTATATAGAATTTTCAGCTCTCCCAAGCAGCTCAAACATGTGATGACAATTTAGCTGCTGGGATCCCCCTTTTGTATAGAAACAGGGCTGGGTAATCTATTCCCTTAAATTGTTGGCTCTTTTGTCTCAACTGACCAGGGCAAATGCTATGCACTGCATTGTAGGTTGTTCTCTATTTCCGCCAGCAAACCTGCAAAGCTTTCAGTCATTAGTTTGCACTTTGCAAATTCTGGAAGTTTCTCGTGAACCCATGGTAACAGCAAAAAGGAGAAATGCAAAACCCAAACCGTATTCCTATATGTAACATGGACCAAGGATAAATAGGGCCCTTTTCTTTTTGAACTTTATAGTGAAACTGTAACAATGATGTAATACTAACAGTCACTACATCCACCAGATGAAGCTACGATGTCCCTGTAGCGTAACGCGTAGGGGAGGGGCAGAGACATCGCCAGTGATCCGACTACCCACGCGGCGAGTATTGTCAGTGTGTGCTGACACACTAAAGAGGCTGGTCATCACCACTTGCAGCGGCTTTTTATACAAAGCGTGATTAATCCTTTAAAATGTGAGTGTACATTGGGAACTTAATAAAATCCACTGTTTATCTATGATAAGACACTATGTCATTTTTCTTTTTACATGGCTAAAATGAGGAATAACGGAGAGCAGGAATAAGGAGCGCTCCAAGGAGGGAGAGGTCTGCCTGTCATTAGGCTAACACTGAAGTATCTTCTCTACACAGACTATACCCATAAATCAGCAGGCTGTTTGTGCAGAGTTCAACGAAATAGTTAATGCGATGTGCTCTCTTCCCAAAGTTGGTTCAGACTTTTTTCTTGTTGAAAAAACTTTTTTCATTGGAACTTTTATTCACATTATATTTTCATCATCATTATTTATTATATATCATTTTTTATATATATATATATATATATATATATATATATACACACACACACATACATATTTTTTATTTTTCTATATACATTTTTTATCTTTATATTTTTTTTGTCTAATTTTTTATTATTTTTTTATAATTAATGAGTGTATATTTTAATTAGTACACATAATTTGAATTTTGTTCACAATTAATTAGGTGAATATGTTTAATTTCTTCTGATTTTCACGGATAATATCACAACAATTAATATATTAGTTTCTTTATTATTATTAACTTTAGAGATATGCTATCTCATTCATCATAATATAAACTGTTCATGACTATACTGTAGAGAGTACATAGTCACCACCATAAGTGAGTAAGTAATTAGTCCTAAATAGAGTGCGGTACCTTATATTATATTCATCAGGGTATCTGCATGTGCTTTCATATTTGGTTGCAGGGAGTCCCCAAATTCAGGCACATTCTTTACTATGGTAAAGGTCAGGGCTACAATGCCAGCATCTCAACCAGATCAGAATATGTTTGACCAGACATTGATTTTTGGAAACCCATTTTTTATGCTTTTTGAAGCATTCCCTTGATGATATTTCAGGAAAGGATAGAGTAGAAAAATGGGCTTCAACTTCAGCCTTGCTGGTGTAGGTGGTGAAGTCTACCCTGTGCAAAGGTCAATTAGTTCTGAACTCCCTGCTTTGATTTGTTAGTGTGTGTCCTTTCATCAACCACTATTGAACAGGTTGGCCAAGTGAGAACTATGGGAAACAGAAAGGGAAGAGGGAGTAGTGCTGTTTTGGCATGTTTGTATTTTTACAGAAGTTGGAAGCTGATTGGCTACCATGCACAACTTCACCAGATTTTGCTCTCTCCAGTTTTAGTACATCAACTCCACAGTTGGGTATTTATTGCAAACTGACCTTTCATTTGGTTTCTTTTCATTCACTAAGATACAGTACATGAGAATTTACTTTAAAAATTACTTTGAAAGTGAACAGGCTCTAGCAGAGGCGGACTGACCTTTTGGGAACTCGGGCACTGCCCAAGGGCCCGGGGTCAGTAGGGGGCCCCATGAGATGCCCCTCATACCTTTCATAGGCTTTTTTGGGTGTGGTTTGAGTATGGGCAAGGACACAGGGGCCCCATGATCCCCTATTGCCCGGGGGCCCCATGAGTTGTCAGTCCGCCCTGGGCTCTAGTGCCTCAACAACTTCACCCCTTTGTGTCTCTACAGCGATACACAAAATTACACTTTTATTTTTATAATTATTTGATAAAACTGTGCTGCAATAGACCTAAGACACAAGCAGCAATTACACATGCAAATTTGTAGAAGTAATGTCAGCTGAAAGCATTTACTAAAATCACAGCAGAATGCAACGACTCTACCACTGTCAAACAAGGACAGCAATTATATGTAGGAGAACCGGGTCTGAAAGATAAGACATATCCAACTATAAAGATATTACGGAACTGGTGGAGGGTACTAACCACTTGCCCTCCATCGGATTTACCCCCCTTCCTGACCAGCCAATTTGTTTGCGTTGTGGCGCTACATTAGGTTAGCTGACAATTGCGCGGTCATGCAACACTGCAACCAAATGAAATTTATGTCCTTTTGTTCCCACCAATAGGGCTTTCGTTCGGTGGTATTTGATTGCTTGTGCATTTTTAGTTTTTGGTGCTATAAAAAAAACTACTAATTTTGAGTAAAAAAAACAATATTTTTGACTTTTTGCTATAAAACTTGTCCAGTAAAAAAAAAAAATTTAAAAATCTAATTTTTGGCATAAAATTTAGGACAAAATGTATTCTGCTACGTCTTTGCTAAAAAAAAATTCCAATACATGGAAATTAATTGGTTTATGTGAATGTTATAGCGTCTACAAATGGTGTATATACTGAAATGTATTTATTTTTTGCTAGTAATGGCAGCGATCAGCGACCTATAGCGGGACTGCGGTGGGCATTCTGACACTGGTTGGGAACTGACTTAGTGTCAATGACATCCCCAGTGATACCAATACAGTGATTAGTGCTAATAAAAGCATTGACACTGTACTAATGGCACTGGGCAGGAAGGGGTTAACATCTGGGGTGATCAAAGGGTTAACTGTGTGCATTTTACTATGAGGCTGTGTGTGCTTTCCACTGTAAGCACACTGCTTGCCATACAAAGCAGTGTGCAGGAGCTGACCGGAGAGATCTGTATTGTTTACATACAGCTCTCTCGCCCATCGGTAATACTCGGTGAACACCGGGTGCCGGCGAACAATCACCAGCCGGGACACGGTGATTGACATCCGAGACCGCCAATGGTGTACACGCCCCCTACCTGGAAATGGAAAATCATGTATATATACGTGACCTTGTGCACTCCTGCCACACCCTGTAGCAGTATTTCTGCTATAAGGCATCAGGAAAGTGGTTAAGAAAGTACTTTCAACACAACAAATCTTTTTCATGTGAACACATTTTAAAATTAACAATAGAGGAATGTGTCAGGTTTGCTATTAAGTAGCAGAAGTTTTCCAAAAGCACAGAAATCATGGGCTGTAGTCCATATCTAAAATTCTGAATGCTAAAAAAAATAAATGACCCTTGGAGAACAAAGCAGCAGCGTCTAACTCCCTTATACTGGAATGAATGGTGAATGGTAAATACCTTCCCTGCAGTCCACAACGTATATGAAATGGCAGTCTGTTTCTTTGGAGGAGTGTCCTTATACTTTTTCCCCTGCTGATTGGTTGATGAAGGCAAGTTCACAAGGCAGAGCAAATGTATGGGATTATGAGGATGTCCATGAATTAAAATAAAAAGGAAAAAAAAAAAAAAGCATGTGTGACAGTAAAATGGCACTATTGGCTGTGATGTGGGTCACTTATTGCTCAAGAGGATTTGTCTAAGGGCAACAAAGCTGATAAAGGGGCTGGAGAACCTCAGTTATCAGGAACCGCAACAAACATTAACTTATCCTCCTCGAGGAAGAGACACCCAAGAGGAGATATGACAGCGATATACTGTACAAATATATAAATCGTGATTCAAGCATAGGGAGAAAACTATTCCGTCTCAGGTCGCTAAAAAAGACATGTGGCCACTCAATGAAGTTGGAAGAGAAGCAGTTTAACCTAAAACTGCATAGGGGGTTCTTTACTGTAAGAGCAATAAGGATGTGGAACTTCCTTCTACAATTGCTGGTGTCAGTAGGGAATGTCGCTAGTTTACAAAAAAAAAATTTAGATGGACATCTTATAGAACGCAATATACAGGGATGTGGGAAATGCATACACCCATACAGGTTGAACTGGATAAACTGATGTCTTTATTCAACCTTACCAACTATGTAACAATGTAATTATGAACTAGCAGGAGGGTTACAGCCAGGGGGCAGACTGACAACTCATGGGGCCCCCGGGCAATAAGGGATCATGGGGCCCCTGTGTCCTCACCCACACCCAAAAAAAGCCTATGAAAAAGGTACCAGGGGCATCTCATGGGGTCCCCTACTGACCCTGGGCCCTCGGGCACTGCCCGAGTGCTCGAATGCTCGAATGGTCAGTCCGCCCCTGGTTACAGCTATATGACTAATTAGATACAGGTAGTGTTTCAGAGTAACTCCACTTTTATTGAGAAAATCCCCTCTGGGTGATCAAAGTGCATTGCAGGGATTTTAATAAATAACTTTTGTAGCGAATGTCTACCTTTAGTTGCTCGGAAGAAGTTTTGGTTTCACCAGACTGATTCTAAATAGGAGGGTCTGCTTTATTATCACTTGGTGCATCCTTCATGTTCTAATGAGAATAGCTGCAATGACTGCATCCCTTTATAAGTATTTAACCTTTGGGGATTACCTCACCAAAACTGAAATTCCTATTGTAGAGGATGCCTAAAATGTAACTTATATCTTAGTGAAGACTTGTAGGAAAATCAATGAGTCAATCACACAAGCAGGAAATTACATTTCTGGGGCAATTCTGTACACCAACTGTATACAGACTGCCCCCAAGTTGCCATATTGCATTGAATTGTACAGAAAGTTACAGCGCTGCAGATTAAAAGGAAAGGTCATTTTACTGATATTAAATTACAACATTGCTTGTGTAGCAAGGGTATATGCCATTTTATGTCTTATTTGTGACTTTTTCCGCAAAAATGTACCCTTAAGGCGGATTAAAGAAATTTTATATATATATATATATATATATATATATACATACACACACACTAAAAACACTGACTTAATTATGAACAGAGACATTAATTTTATTAGCAAGAACATAATATTCCAAATGCACATCCACTTTGCACATTACAGAAGTCTAAAAGCCTACTATGGTGTTCACCCTCTCTTCGGCACATAACACAGTTGTGCTTTGCCTAAGGCAGACTACAGGAACATGTGTTGTATGCAATAACTTGTGCCTAAAGCAAAGTACACAACACCACCAGCATATTTGTTCTGCCAAAAATACTTTATTTTCCATTACATGGAACATGCAATGCTTACACCATTTGGTATGTACTTATGTCACAAAGATGAATTACATTTTAGTTTTGCAGCATAAATTGATTTTGCAAAGGTACACAAAGCTACGGGAAGCCATTCTAATTTCCCTGGTCTCTGAATGTAGCTAGGGAGAGCTGGTTGATAATTGTTTTGGTTAGAGGCTGAATAGTAGCCTGTGCAATAGTCAGGGTCAGGGCTCAGAGGCTCTGCAAATCAGCTCTCTGAAACCTCCCCCTGATCTAGAGACTTGGAGAAGCCTTTAGAATTCAGTGAGTGGGGGTGCGGAGGAGCTGGTCTGCACTCTTGAGGAATCCTGGCCAATTCCCAAGCAGGACGCCTGGCATGGAGTCAGGACAGCTGTTAAGAGTGGTCAAGCCTGTTCAGCAGCAGGAGAGTTTGGTGAAAGATATGAGGACAGGAGCTGGAGAGTGGAGCCTGGGAGGAGGCCTAGGGAAGGGGTCTGCCTTCAGGAGAGCTGTTGACAGAAGGAAAGCTGGACCTCACTGGTCCCCTGAGAGAGGACCATCTGTGGAGGTAAGGAAGGAGCTAGCCCAGCAGAAGGCCTGAAGGCAGCTAATAATCTGCAGCCTAAGGAAGAGGGATAGTGAGTAATTCTACATTCCCTGAATGGGAATAGGGGAGAGGGCATTTGGGTCAGAAACCTAACTAGCCCCAGATGGACTGTGCTTTTTAAAGAGTCAGACTCTAGATCCCCTTGTCCAGGGATTTCTACACCAGGAGAGGCTGGCTCGCTCTCAAAGAAAATCCTTCTGAGCATTTGTACATAGTTTTTAGGAAGTTCAACAGTTCCTTGGGCATCCCATGTATCCCTTATCCCCATCCAAGTTTAAATCCCCTAATAAAATCCCCCCAAAAAACCCAAGGTTAAGGACTGTTTACTATCTCTGGAGTGCAAGGCTGGAAAGAAATGTGTGTTGCCTGGTTGTGCAGGACTGTAGGGGGATCCACGTCTCTAGAGACTCCTAAGGGGGTAGTGCTATAGAGCATATAGACATTCCATACAATGGTGGGACATTGAAAATTTTAATTTTTAGCCTGGACTTTTAAAACGCCACATTCTAAAATCACAGGGTGAAACCCAAACATTGGGGGGGGGGGGGGGATTTACAAAGAGTTGTCCAGGTACAAAGCCTGCAGAAGTCTCCTAAACTTCGATAATAGAACAGATGCTGCTCCTAGTTAATAAAAGTGCCTGTGATAGGAAACACATAGGACAGAGAATGGAAAGCTGGAGCTCTCACAGCCATGTCCACCCCGCTCAGCTCAGAGTAGGAGGGAGGAGTTGACTCTGTGCGTCTCTGCTCATGTAGTGTAACCACTGCTCAGGCAGAGAACGGGATATGAACCTACCTGGTAGTATAGAGAATAGGGCTATAGCAAGGTATGCTACAATATATGTGTGGATTACATTGCAGTATTTTATTATGGTTTAAGTAGAAGCCTTCTTCATTGAGATGACTGCAATAACAAACATCCTACAATACGTTATCATCACAAACATATAAAACAATTAAAGTAGACTTAAATATGAGCTCCAGGCACAAATTAATATAGCATTGTAATCATTAATACATCATTAATAAGCTTTCTTAAATACAAGAAGCTCAAGTAATTGAATGTGACTTGGTATCAGCCTGTGTAGACATTAACCCTTTCACTGCCAGGTCCTACAGCACTGCTTCCAGCTAGCCAGATCCGTACGCTGAATGGACCAGATTCCTCTTTCTGCTATAAGCTCATGGTCACTTCAGTAACCATGAGCTTATAGCAAAAAACTGTTCAGATAGCCACTGATCACAGCCATTTACCTAAAATGTGACCCCCCCACCGCCGCTTCTCTGCCCTGTCTCCCCCATCCCTTTACCTGCCCTCTCTGCCTACTCCAATACTCCCTGCCACTTCACCCCGCTGCAATGATCCCCCCCCAGCACTGACCCCCTACCCTCGTGAACCTGATCCCCTTGCAGCTACCCTGCAGCTATTGGCTTCCCTCCTCTGCCCCAGGAAAGCCATAGAGGGACCATTTTAGCCAAATAGACCCCCCCCACTGATCTGACTCAAACTTCATTGAGTGCTGGGAGCCCCCTTCCTGCAGCTGCAGGCCAGCTCTCCTTATTCCCTCTCCCGCCAGCTGCAGCCGCTGCTAGTGCAGGAGATCTGTCATTATGGCATTATGGAGAGCGGGGGGCTGGTAAACATGTGTTTTATCATCCCCCTTTCTTTCTTGCAGGAATACAATCAGTGATCAGTACAGATCGCTTCTGCGTTCATTAATCACTGTTTATCAATCAGTTTGTGAAAGAAACATAGCAAACACTATTTATTATTTTATGAATGAATAGGAGTCTATACAGATTCCTATCCACTCATCTACAGTAAAGCTCAGGCTCAAAAAAAGAGACATTAGAAGTCTGTTTAGACCCCTGATGTCTCTCCAAATCCCCCCCCCTCCCTCCCCAAAAATGTTTTAAAAATTTTAAATAAATAAAACAAATGTTAAAAATAAATCAAATTGGTAAATAAAAATTTAAATAAAAGAAAAAACATAGTAAGGGTAGACTTAGACATGCGTCTAAATCTCCCTTGCCTCTGAGACCCCCCATGTGCAGATCGCGCTCCAATGGCTGAGTACCTGTT